ATATTTTTCCGTGTAAAGTGATTGCAGCCGGCGATAAAAGGTACCTCGTGTGTGCGGCGGTTGCTGCTGCGGTCGTTTCTGTCGCGAATGGATTCCTTTCTCTGTATTCTGTAACGAGTGGTTATTCCTGCGTACGTAGTTCTATATGTTTCTTGAATTTGCGGTTGCAGATCGCAATGAAATGGCTGCAATATTATTGTTATTTGGTAATGCCATATAGATAGAAAAATGCGGACTAGGCACATAATGCGGCGAAATGCATTATAATGGCTACATGAATGCTGAATGGATTTTGTTTTGGGAAGGAAGCCGCAACACGAAACCTTGTATTTTTCCATATAAAGTAATAGCAGGTGACGATAAAAGGTACCTCGTGTGTGCGGCGGTTGCGGCTGCGGTCGTTTCTGTCGCGAATGGGTGCCTCCTCTGTGTTCTATAACGAGTGGTTGTTCCTGTGTATGTTGTTTTATGTATTTCTTCAATCTGCGGTTGCAGATCGCAGTGAAATGGCTGCAATATTGTTGTTATCTGCTGATGCCATGCGCGTAGAGAGATGCGGGTTTGCCACGTGATGCGGCGAAATGTATTGTAATGATTGCGTCAAGGTTGCTTGGTGCTGTGGCTGCATGCGTAAATATTATTATTTTTTATAATTAGATCTCATAAATAGTAGTGGAATGATTGCATCAAGGTTGCGACAGTGATTTGACAACAAATTTTCTCAATTTCGGTGCTAGTAATTTTCCTTTTAAAAATCCTTTTAAAAAAAATCAAAATCGTTTTTAGCGTCGAGATCCAGTTTTGGAGCTACAATTCCTTTTTTGATTATGTACAAGAAAGCTTCTCTATTTTTTTTATTCTGAAAAACCTTGTTGTGTCTAAATGATTTTGTGTATAAAATCTTGTTATATATAAAAATTTCTCTGTGTTTAAGTTTGTTTTGCCTTAAAAATCTCTATATGTAATATTTTTTCTTTAAATAAAATGTTGTGTATATAAACGCTTGCCATATGTTAAAAAATTGTATGTAAGTGTTCTGTGTATAAACACTTGTTGTATGAGAAAATTTGTTGTGTGTAAAAGTTTTTCTGTGTAAAGGCCTGTTGTGTGTAAAAAAATATGTATATAAAAATTTCTCTGTTTAAAAAAATAATGTATATAAAAAATTCTCTGCGAAAGAATTTGTTGTATGAAAAGCATTCTTTGTATAAGTTTTGAATCACAAAGTAGTATTGGGACGTATTTTGTGCAAATTTTGTAATATAAAGTTGTATTGGGAACGTGCTTTCTACAAGCTTCAAAGTACAAAATAGTATTAGGAAGTGTTTGATGTAAGCTTTGTAATACAAAATAATCGAAGGAAATTTAGAAATTTCCGATAATATAGATAGATGAAAAGCAGAGCAGGGAAGAGGCAGAGAGAAGAGAAAGATTAGAAGAAAGAAGATCAGAGAAGAAAAAGAGTCAGAAGAAAGAAGATACAGATGCGCGAAAAGGTAGGAATGTCGTGAAATAGTGTGTTTTTCCCATAATTTGGGGCTCCGGAGGGTCGAAAAGTAGGCTCGCTAAAGCGGCGGGTGCGGAGCCAGCTGACCAGATGAGAGATGAAAAATTGCACGCCGTTGTGG